CCTGCCTATTCCTATGCAGCTACTTGGATTCAATGATTGCTATTGCCCAAGATTCCATTTGTGATCCAGTGAAAGGCAAAAACAGTAATATCATATGCCCCGCTGCTTCCTTGTGGTCTAACTTTTGGGAGTGTGTGAGTGATCAGAATTGCCCCTTGCCGAAACTAAGGGAGATATCCTATGTCGGAGTTGAGTGGTTGTTGGTGGTCGTGCACCCACCGGGAGAGTTGGAACGGACCATGGTGTTTTTCACTTTCTGGAGGAGCTGGCATACCGTAATGAAATAGTACATGAGAAAGCCCCAACACCGATGGCTATGTCCTATTGATTCCTATGCAGCTACTTGTTTTCAATGATTGCTATCGCCCAGGATTCCATTTGTGATCCAATGAAAGGCAAAGCAGTAATATCATATCCCCCGCTAGCCAAGAGTTCACATAAAATACCAAAACCAAACTCTCCGGTGAGTTGGTTCCCATCTCCATCAGGATGGGTGAAGCTTAATGCTGACGGATCTTGGGATGACGGCAGAACAGGAGCTGGCATGGTTCTTCGGGACAAATGGCGCAATCATTTATTCTTCCTACAGGGAATTATTTAACTTCATATATGGCCTTGAAGCAGAAATAAGTGCGTGTATGGAGGGATTGTCTCTCGCTATGAAATGTATGGATCTTTCCATTCTTGTTGAAATGGATTCACTATCAGCGATGAACATTTTATGTGACAATGACATAGACTGGTCGGTCTATGCGTTTTTGGTGGGAGAGATAAAGCTTCTGAAGTCGCTTTGTATGACTCGTGTTACTCATATCAACCGTGATTAGAATATAGATAGTGATTCTTTTTAGCTTCGTATGACTCATGTTACTCATACCAACCGTGACCAGAATATAGTTAGTGATTTTTTTAAACTAAATTTGTTAAAACCGAGAGTAGAACTGTTGTCTGGTTAGGCTTGGGCCTCCTCGAAGTTATTGAATTATGTAAAGAAGATTGTTTTTTTTTTGAACTGGCCAACAATTGCTGGTTTTCATTAGCTTAGCAGAAGGGAGCGACAAAATGTTTGATCAAGTGATCAGTGGGCGAAGGGGAGAAAAACATTGAGAAAAACTTCGTCATGCAGAGATATCACGCGGCGTGCCCAAAAGGGTGCTCTAAGCATTTTGCGCCTGCGATCCGCCATTGCTCCATGTCTGAGCGGCAACAGCCGATGATGTTGGCCGGGCTTGGCAGCTTCCCTTTGAAGACACAGTTATTCCTCTCCATCCAAATTTGCCAGCTGATGAGTGGGATCATGGATTTGATGCCTTTTTGGGAAGTCGTGGCGGCGGCGGCGATGATCATTTTGACCTTGGCCGTGGTTGTCTACCCGTTGCTTCATGTGTCTGGGTGTAGGGCAGAGCACCCCTCCCACGTTGCCGCTGTGCTCCACACTTGCATGGCCGTTGGGCAGTCCCAGATGAGGTGCACCGAGCTCTCGAGGTTGCGCAGGCAGAGTGGGCAGAAACAGCCGTTTGGCCATCCACACCGTTGTAATCTGTCGTTGCACCACAACCTGTTCAGGTGGAGCAGCCATAAGGACATCTTGTTCTTGTCCGGCACCCACACCTTTTAGATGTTTGTAAGGAAGATTGTATGGTTGGTGATTGGGTAATACTTCGTCCGTCCAAAATTACTTGTCGCGGAAATAGATAAAAGTATATGTATTTAGAACTAAAATATGTCTATATACATTTATTTTTCCAATAAGTATTTCCAGATGGAGGAAGTATAAGTTTTTACTAAAAAAAGGAACGCAGGTTTAAGAAAGGATTTATTACATGATAAGGATTGCTAAGAAACGCAAAGCGATTAGACACGCGTTCCTTCCTTCGTTGGTTTGGCTGGAGGCTGTCAACTTGTCTAGCAGTGAGGCGATCCCAGCCTGCCCGACCGGCAGCTCCTCTCCGTCTCTCCCCCATGCTGCCGCCGCCGCCGCCGCCGCCTCCTCCCGCCGTTCCTCCCACCAGCGCCGCCGCGGCCTATGCGTCTCTTGCCGCCATTGCGAGCTCCGTCGAGGGCCTCGCCTCCTTCAACGAGGTGCTCGTCGAGTTCCTCGACGAGTGGCGCGAATTCCACCTCGACGCCAACTCCATCGCCGCCGCCCTGCCCCCGCTCGCAGACGACGATGCCGACCCCGACCCCAAGCCCAGCCCCGTGGGAGAGCTCGGGGCCCTCCTCGGCCACTGGAACCCCGTCCTCCCCGCGGCCGCCGCCGCCGCACCCCCCCTCGCCGACCGCGTAGCGGACGAATCCAACCCTAGATTACCCGACCCCGTCGCCGAGCGCCGCCAGCACAGTCCCGTGCCTCAAGACCCCCTCCACCAGCGGGACGAATCCATCCCTAAACCCGGCCCGGTGATCGAGCGCCGCGAGCACAGTCCCCTGCCTGCGCCCCAGCGGCTCACCTCCGCCCCCGCCGTCCCCGCCGCCGCCGCCGACCCCGTCCCCGAGCCCGAGCCGAAACCCGCCCTCCCGGCCGAGGTCGGGCCCGTTCGCGCGCCCAAGCCCGCACCCAAGCCCGGCCCCGGCCGCGAGCGCAGGGCCAGCGAGCAGGAGGCGGAGATGCTGGGGGGCATCTGCGAGCAGATGGGGTCGCGCTCGCTCCGCGGCTTCGTCACCACCCACCTGCGGGACCGCGCCTGGCTGCGCCGCGTGGGCCCGGCCGCGCTGCGCCGCGCCCCGGACCCCGCCGTGCTCGTCATCCGCGCCGTCAGCCGCAGCTACATCTGCGCCGAGAGCGAGAACGCCGAGACCGCCTGCGTGCTCCTCCTGGAGCTCTACGTGCGCGCGGGCTGCCCCCGCCGCCCGGAGGGGGAGGGGGAGGCCGAGGTGCGGGCCGAGGCGCGCGTGTCCGCGCTCTCGTGGCGCAGCCGGATCGTGCGGGAGAAGGGCCGGGTCGCCGACGCCAGCGCCAGGGACGCCCGCGGCCTCATCCTCCTCATGGCCGCCTTCGGCGTGCCCCTCGAGTTCCCTCTGCAGGAGCTCTACCAGCTGATGCTTGCCGGCGGCTGCTTGACCTGGGTCGACGTGCTCAGATGCTCCCAGCCCTTCATGAAGAAGCTGCGTGGTGAGGGCACCCTACCACACCTGTTGCATTATCAGCAATTCCGCATGGCCTAGTTATCCCTGCTTCCTGACTAATCAAGACTCTTCTTGTGTTGCAGATGTTGTTGCTGATATGCTGAACAGGGGAAGTTATCGCGAAGCGATTGGTGTGATCCTTGCATTTGACCTGCAGGAGGCGTTCCCGCTCGATGGCGTACTGTCTTACATCGTTGACAAGGTTGTGCGCAATAGGAAGGAGCAAGAGAGCGAGGTGGAGTGTGATTTGGCGGGATCGGTATGTTCTGTCGATTTCTCGTGCAATCAATTTATCACTACTGAAAAGAGAGCTAACTGATGTATGTCGTCAGAAGGATTTAATGGCTGACCTGGCAAATTCTTTCCACTATTGCGTAGATTCGATAGCCGTTATAGATGTCAGATATAATCTTCAACACGCGATATATTCGATAACTGCTATATCAGATGTTACATCTAATCTTCAGCACCTTCTATATATTGCGATATATTCAGTAATCATTGTATGATATGTTAAACATAGTCTTTAGCACCTTCTGTATATCACGATGACACGATATATTCGATACCCATTATGTATCCTGTGCTATAGTTAATCATCGCGATATATTCTAGAACCATTATATATCCTGTGCTATATTTAATGACTGATCTGGCAAATTCTTTCCACTATTGCGTTGATTGGATAACCGTTATAGATGTCAGATATAATCTTCAACACCTTCATATGTCGTGATATATTCAATAGTTATTATATCCTATGTTACGTTTCTCTTCAGAACCTTCTATATGTTGTGATATGTTAAATATACCATTGTATGATATGTTAAATATATTCTTTACCACCTTGTATGTATCGCGATATATTCGTTAACGATTATATATACTGTGCTATATTTAACCTTATGCACCTTTATGTCGCGATATATTTGATATCCATTATTGGTGCCATCATGTATTTAATCATAAGCACATTGCATCTTAAATGCTTCATCTCTAATGAGCACATCCTGCTTGTTTTCTGTGCAGAAAAAACGTGATGAAGAGGAGTTGCTTCTTTGGAGATCAATATCGAAATATGTGGAGGAGCGCACACCATGTTTTTCAGAAATGTCTTGTCCCAGTTTGGCTGAGAGGATTAAGGTGCTAGAAGAACGCGTTGGAAAGCCAAACCAAAACCTTTCTGAGTGAAGAGAGTCGCGAACCAAGCTTCTCTGAGCGAAGAGAGCCAAACCAAGCCTCTCTAATGATCTAACATAAATCGTGAACTGCAGAAGCAACACCGCTACGAGCGAGGAGAGCTTAACAGACCAGTTCTGCAGTTCAAATACTGCAGCTATACGAATTTTGACATGGATCCAGCCGTACTGTACTGTATGGACTTGTAGGAAGTCTTTCTGGGCTCCTCAAGTATCCATTATACACCTGATAGAATTATACCCAGCCTAGTAAGGCACACAGTATGACAATATGTTGTGGTTGAACTTAAACCTGCTTGTAGCAACCTTGGCCTGTTTCCCCCAAACAGCAAGCTCGGTAATATTTCCATGTTTGGAAGGGATGGATTTTGGGGATTGTTCTGAATCCCGCATCATCCTTCCATTCCCACCCCTTTCAGAACATCCGTTTGAGACTCTGTGTGGTGGCCTGTTTTGAAAGCTCACATTTACTTTGGCCCAAGATGAATGAATCATGAAATCTCTAGTTATGTTTTATTTCTAAGTCAATTCATTCCGTAATGTCGAGTTATAGTTTCTGTAATCTTTTTATTAAATTCTTCTAGCATTTGGCCATGCTTTTGTGGAATTCACTCAAGATGGGTTTTGTAGAACATGGCACATCTTGGTTTGCCTGTTCTATGCAGCATCACAAAATTTGGTCACTGAAAATGCCAAAATTGCCTTTCCATCCTACAGTCGTATGGTCTGTAGAGGAGGAAATGGGGTGTGGGCATTCCTAAGGCATAATCATGACATGTTCTCCTTGTGATTCTTTGCACTTGGTACATTTGCATATATTTATTATGGTGTTGGAGGAATGCCCGAGCAGAGCTTGAGGAACTGAACCTGCTTGCTAGAGCACTTTTAAACTTGCTTATTACTAGGTATATTATATATTATATATAGGGAACGTTGAGTTTGTAGGTTGTCAAAATATTTGTACTGTATTAGATTCTTCCAAGGGTTTGACCCTGCTGCTAAGGATTTTATCAGTTGAGTTGGATTTTGCTGAGCAATTCCTATTCCGTGTGTTGTACTCCTACACAGCATGGAGTGCAACGACGAAACAGTAGGTCTTTCTACAGTTTGATCTTTCAACCCGCGTCTGGGTGCCCTTGCCGTTGCTTGGTTGTTAACATAAATTTACGGGTCGCCATGTTTCAACTTTGAACGGATGGCTATATTTCTTTCCGACAAGTTATTTTTCCCTGTTTGGACACTCGATTTTATTTTTCAGGCATTTTAGATCTAGTTGGGCGAGTCCATACTGAATCTGGGCACCGTCAAGCTTTATTTCTCTGACTGAATAGAGTTCCCGTTGGCTTGAAAACCGTCGCTTTTTTTTTTCCAAAAAAGGTTTATATTTTGCTGCTATGTTTCGGTGTTTCGAGACGATTTTCGAACCACAGAAGTCGAATGAAAGAAATGTGAATCCTGAAATGCACGTCTTTTTTTCAGGGTTCGGAATGCACGTCTAGGTCGTAAATCGGAGTGGGTCATCGAGGCTCTGACCGGCTGGCGTGGCGCGTTGACCGCCGCCACGTCGGATGAGAGTCACACGTAGGCGAACATTTTATTTTTAGTTTTCCACGTAGGATATAGCTGGCTGAAGCGACTACTAGACGCAACCGCATCGATCGTCACTGTCATCCCACCACCTACCTACCTGCTGCTCCCACCGTCCTCCGCTCCGATCCCCATGGAAGCCACCGCCGCCGCCTCCCTCGCGCGGTCCCTCGCCTCCTCGCCGCTCCCCCGCGGCTCCCGCCGTAGCCGCGTGCGCGTGGTCGTCGCGGCGGCCCGACGGAGGGGGCCGTCGGGCGCGGTGGCCGCGGCGGCGGCCTCCACGGGCAACTACGTGGTGCCGCTGGACGCCGCGCCGTCGGGGATCACGCGCCCGCTCGTCGAGATCCTGCGCGACCTCAACAAGCGCGTCCCGGAGACCATCGTGCTCCCCGCCTCCCGCCGCGCCTCCGCCTCCGACCCCGTCATCCCATGGTACTATCCTCCCTCCTCCGATTCCCCATTCCCTTGTCGTGCTCGCTCGAGATCCAGCCGAATGCGTGTGGCTGGCGTCCGAGAGATCTATGTATGAGGGGCTTGTTAACCACGAAATCCTGGCCGATCCACCAACCATAGGCACACGGATCGGATCCCCCCACTGATCGTAACCTCACGCATTCTCCTGTCCTGATTACTCATGGATCTCCATTCCTCTGTCTGTCAGGTACCATGCCAACCGGATGCTCAGCTTCTACGCCCCCGGTGAGCCTCCCCCATTTGCCGAATTCCAAAACTGCTCACATATGGTTTGTGATCCGATCCGAGTGGGTCGATTCATGCTAGTAATTTGTTTGCTTCACTTCACTCTGTTTATTTGCGGCTACTACTTGTTCCGAGTCGTGCATCCACACTTGGTGTGATTGCTGTGTACATGATCCCAAGCGTGCTGTAGTTTAGCATGGATGGACGATCCTTGCATTGGGGAGTTCATCAATGGCGCGTAGGCAGTGTGCTTGTATACCTAATCTGAGCAGTTGATTTCACCTATATATAGCGTTTCTACTTGAAATGTGATGATCCACGTGCTAACTGTTTGCTCCTTATGGTGTTCTTGGATTGTGCCCTGTTTCCAGGCTGGTGCGGAGAGGTCCGTGATGTTATTTACAACGACAATGGGAAGGTGACCGTGGTGTATCGCGTCACAATTCGAGGGATAGATGGGGAGGTACCTAACTACTATCTCTTGTTTGTGATGACGGTCAACATACCGCAAAGGCCAACATCGTATGAATTAGTTTGTTAATGGATCAATCGTCAAGCTCCTAATTTTGTAAATCTATTATAGTTTAGGATGCAACCTTACAAGCTATACATGCATTGGAAGAGTTACTAAGACAAGGGTTGATGGGGTTGGGACAAATCTCCTAGGAAATCTCAAATTTCGGAAATTCACTTGGTTGCCAGAATCATTGTTTAGGTTGACCTGTAAACTGAATCACTTGGGTTGCTGTGGTTGGGACAAATAAACTGGATTTAGAAATTCAGATACATTTGTGAGTTCACCCCATATGCTTGTGGCATCCAATGTCAAGTTGCAGGAGCCCCTGCCTATCTGTCTTTGCCCATCCAAGGCGTAAATCAATTATTTTCTGTTTGTTCTAGGCATTAGTTATAATATGGAACCGACTACACCTGTCATTTCCGAGCTTGTGTCTGTGTACAAAGTACAGAGTATATACTCCCCTGGTTCACCAAGCAGATATTATTTGAGTTTATGACAAGAAAATCAACTGAGCGAAAATCAACTTCTTAAGTCAAGAAAATCACAGCTATGGGCAAATACCTAACATCGAAACATCACAAATTTCTAAAAAATTCCACCATGACCAAGATCGATGTTTGATAATCTTCACCGGAACTCTGCTTTCGTCTGTGCAGGTTCATCGGGAGGCCGCTGGAACAGCATCACTGAGCGACGCACGGCTCGACGACCCCGTGGCGGCTGCAGAAGAGGCCGCGTTCTGCAAGGCCTGCGCAAGGTTCGGTTTTGGACTGTACCTGTACCATGAAGATGAGGCGCTGTGAGAGACGTCATCTCTTCTCTCACCCTATCCATTTTCAGAAGGTCAGAGGCCAAGCTTGCCAGAGCTTGTCTGTACTGCTGCAAGATATCATCCCGCATGCACCATTCACGATGAACTGTAAATACGAGGCTTATCTTGTTACCTTGTGTTTGTTGGCACATCAGCTGTTGTAATCTCTGTGCGATAAGAGTGTCACTCGTTGCCTATCTGTCTTTGCCCATCCAAGGGGTAAATCAATTATATTCTGTTTGTTCTAGGCATTAGTTATAACTTGGCACCGACTACATCTGTCATTTCCGAGCTGTGTCTGTATTCAAAGTACAGAGTATATGCTCCCCTGGTTCACCAAACGGATATTATTTGAGTTTATTTATGAATCCAGTTTGCTGAGTTAGATTTTTTTTTTTCGCAGCTGGTCCGCTCCGCTCCGCTCCCGTGTCGCTCTGACAGGGGCGACACCGGGGCGCCCCAGCCCTAGCCGCCACCAGCCTCAACCACCACCACCCCACCGCCGTCGCCGGCGGCGGCGAAGGCCTGCTCCTGAAACCAGGGACTCGCGCTCCTCCCTCAAATCCAAGCTCCCCTCGCTCAGATGCTTTGGCGGCTCTCGTCACTGGATGCAGCGGCGTGCTGCGCGGGCTCCTGCCCGTCAGCTGCTCCAGCTGGTTGATGCGGGGTGGCAGCCCACTCTACCTCTCTGGTTCGTCCGCTCCGGCTGTGGCCGGATGTTTGCTCGGCGCGGTGATGTGGGGCGCGGCGGCATGGCTTTCGCCCAGATCTGCGGGTTCAGTGGCGGGGGATTGCGGCCACGGGGGTGCTGGCGCAGGGCGTCCTTGTCCTGGGTGCGCGCGGCCCTGGGCGCGTGGCGCGGTCGCCGGAGCGGCATCGGGTGTAGCATGGAGTGGTGGCACCCGGTGCGGGTGCGGGCGGCTACGGGCGCGCGTCAGGTCAGGAGAGCTGCGGGGTGAGGTGGTTCTGGAGCGGCTGGCGCGCCGGCTCCAGATCTGGCAGTGCTCGGAGTTTGCCGAGGCCCCCATCCCCGATCTGGCAATCTTCGCGGCGGTTGGTCGTGGGATGGTTCTCAGCGGCTTGGTTGGCGCTGCCGGCAGTGATGGTGGATGCGTGGCTTGCTTCTGGCTCGGGTTAAGCTGGTCGTGATGGCGGACGGCCCAGGCGGCGATCTCAGGCCAGATCTGACCTGCAGTGCTCCGAATCGGGTCCTGTGCGACGGTGCTCTGGGAGAAATCCCTGCTCACCCATTGTGTGAGCCGACCACGACGGCGCCACCCCGGCATCGTATACCTTCCTAGAGGCGTGGTCTCCGAGCTATTTCGTGTGGATCTGCGGCGTGGTTCTGGCTGTCTTGCTGTAGGGATGTGCTCAAACTTCGGGTGAGAACCTTGCATCGACTTTGTCGATGTCGGTGACAGCGGCGTCTATGGACGTCGTCTTCCTTGCAGGAGGTGCCGCTGTGGAGCTCCAGCACCTACGGTACTTTGCTTTGTGGTCTCCGGGTGAAAACCTAAGTTCCGGCTCGCCGGGTCGGATGATGGTGTTGTGTCTTCGACAGCACTACCTCCTTGGAGGCGTCATCTTGGAGACCCTCAAACGACGGCTCCTGTTGCTGCGCGTGGTTGATGGTGGTGCGGCCATCTTGGGGCCGATGGTGGTGTCCTCTTCTTCATGTGTTTCTCTTCGACTGTCCTTCGTGTGGTCTCCGTGTGCATGCTCAAGACCTTCCCATGGTTGCCGTTGTGCTGCGGCGAGCTTCGGGCTCTTGGTGTTGTCTTGGTTCACCTTTGCTCAATGACGGCGCAATGATGCCTCCCCAACCTGCTAATCGTTTCGACCGCCCGTGGCGTATCTCCCAGTCAAGGTTCGTGTTAAGGTTTGGCACTCGTTGATTATGGTTGATCCTCTGTTGTGCCGTGGGGCTCGCACGCCGGTGCGGTGCGTTAGGTTGTTTGCAGAGTCTTGGTATTGTGATCCCTGGACAAAAACCCACATCTACTTGTGTCTCTCGTGGTGTTGGTCTTTTGCCTGCTAGCTAGGTCATGCCCTCTCCTAGGTGGCAATTTTTTTCTCATCTTCTGTAACCTTGTTACCTGTATGGTTTTCGGCCCGGTTTTCCTCATAAACGGGGTCAACTTGTTTAGGTTTTTGATCCGGTTTCCCTTATAAACTGGATTAGCCAAAGCTTAAGGGGTGACCCTTAGCTTTGGCAGCTTTTTGAGCAATATATTCAGGTGGGGATCCTCTCCCCCCCGTGACCGTTAAAAAAAAAGTTTGCTGAGTTATATTAACTAGGGAGTAGATAAATGGTACTCCCTCGATAAAGAATATAAGAATGTAGTGATCTAAACACTCTTATATTTCTTTACGGAGGGTGTATGGTCAACCTTCAGCGTCTTAATCAGGTTCATAACCACTCAGTGTAATACAAATCAGCACTAGACGGTCAATAATCGGTAACCACGGTTGCACACGTTAGTATGATGCCCCGCACATTGTTGCGGGAATGTTTGCAATATTTTAATGAGATTTTGATTATATGAAACATGAATTCTAGAAACAATAGTTTTTGAAAGTATATAAGAATTAAATGTAAATAGCATAATAAAATGAAATTTTACATGCATGCATGTTGTAGTGGATTTTTAATATGCATAGTTGCATGTTGAGGTGGGCCTGTCCTTATGCATGTTGACTGATGAGGTGGCATGCTTGCATGTTGAGAGAAACATATTAGTGGGGGCTAGCTATTTAGATATAGAAGATTTGGCTTTTACACTCAGAGATCTGAAGTCTCTGGAGACATTGTAGTATAGTACTCTGTGAACATTTTACTATTAATGAGCGTGTTTACCTTATGTTTCAAACTGATTATTTGAACATACAAACTTAAGTTCCAGTTCCCCCGCAAACGAAATATGGGTTCAGTTACATAAGCAGCCAGTCTTTGCAAGGTGATCTTGAATTTCCTGGTTGGGCTGGCAGCAAATCAGATGCAATCACTGCATTATTGTTGTTGTATATTACCTATTTATGCAAACACCTGTGATTGATTAAAACTTGCAAACGGACATAGCACTGTGGCAATTTCTTGAGTCAAGAAAATCATAGCTACAGACAATATCTAAAATTGAAACAGCAGTTATTTCTGAAAATTTCAACCACAAACAAAGTTAGTATTTGATAATCTTCACTGGAACTCTGCTTTCGTCTGTGCAGGTTCATCGGGAGGCTGGTGGAACAGCATCATTGAGCGATGCACGGCTCGACGACCCCGTGGCGGCTGCAGAAGAGGCCGCGTTCTGCAAGGCCTGCGCAAGGCTCGGCTTCGGGCTGTACCTGTACCACGAAGACGAGGTACTGTGAAGGACGCCTCTTCTCTCACCCTATCCACGCTCAAAAGGTCAGATGCCAAGCTTGCCAGAGCTTGTATGTACCGCTGCAAGATATCACCCCACATGAGCTGTAACTGTAAATATGAGGCGTATTTTGTTTACCTTTGTGTTTGTTGGCACATCAGCTGTTGTAATCTCTGTGCGATAAGCGCGTCACTCGTTTTCTGAATTGTACCCCTGTGATGATTCCAGTTACAATTGGTATAAATACATGATGCCACAGTTGTTAGAGTTTGGAGATTGGCACTTTCATTGGAACATTTGTGAAGAACTTATGTAATGGAAGCTCCTGATCTTTGTGCTAGCTGAGATGATTGCAGTATATGTCATTAGGTTAATTAGTTTTGCCCTAAAACCCTGCTAGATGGCATTATAATGTTGCGTTTTTTCCCCTATTCGTGCACGCTCCTCTTTGGCATCCTGTACAGCAGATCAAACAGGCCCTGTCCAGCTAGAAACAGACTACGCGGTATAAATAGATTACCGAAAAAGGGTTTCACCTGCTTTGTATTACAAAGCAACAGGGCCGTCTCCAGAAATTCGGGGCCCCGGTGCGAAAAGCATAATGGGGCCCTAACATTTTCAAAAAACATATAATAACTCAAGCACAATCACCTGACTATGTGATTTCAATTTATGTTATTTCTTACAATGTTTAGAAAATTCTCAAGTGTCAATGCAAAATACTAAAACCAATAAACTTACCTCATGCTCATGCTGTACTGAAAAGTGTCTTCCGTCTTCTTCTAGTTTATGTTTCTTCTTACGCTTTAAGGCACCAGAATCATACTTTCTTTTATAACTAGAATGCATGATTGTTTCTGTTTATCAACCAAACAAAAAAATATCAATGCATTTAAGCTGATGAACTCACATAAAACATAGGCTTGTAATTTGTATAGATAGTTAGAATCAGATAGAACCTTGATTTTTGACTTGGACGACTGGATGAGAAACTATTGAAAATCTTGAATCTGTGACAACTTTTGAAATTCAACAACTAGACAAAAAATCATTCCAAAACATATAAGTAAAATCTTAACACAACTTTTGTAGTTTGTATCAAAACTAGAGAAAAGAGGAGACGCTTAGGGCACCGGTTACTGTTGGTCGTTGGCCTTCTGTTCGGCGGCACCGCAGCAGTGTTGGACGGCGCGACGGCGTCCAGCGGTCGCAAGTCCCGTGCAGTTCCACTTCCGCCCATCGCCTGGCTGCAAATCAATTGCCGCCGAGCCACCGATTCAATCGTCCCGAAAAGATGGATCGCACCGCCGCAGAGGAACCGGATGGAAAGCGGAGAGATTAGGGAATTGGGAACGACAGAGAGATTAGGGAATAGGGAACGGCAGAAGTCACGGAACGTGCGTACACGTACTGTGTGGATCTCTCAGATCGATCCACGCGAGGATGGACATCGCGTATGGCTCGAGGCCTTGAGCGGACCAGGCCCAGGAAGGCCGAAATGAGTGTTTTCAGCCCTCATGCGACACACAGAGGCAATATGGCCCGAAACTGATTTTATTTTTTGGACTATTCATACACGTATATGGCCCTAATCGGGGGCCCCAGGATTTTGGGGGCCCTGTGCGAGCGCACGGCTCGCACATGCCCTTGGACGGCCCTGCAAAGCAACCAACACCGATCACATAGCAATGCTCGAGCGAGAAGCACAACAAGCCCAAAAGAAAAGAGAAAGAACAAAGAAGAAGAAAGAAATGCCAACAACGACAGCTCGACAAAGCGCGGATGACCCGCCACTGCTGCGCCCTCCAGAATCGACCCACCACAGACCAAGAATCCGATCCGCCGCGTACCACGCATCACCTCCAAGAAGGGAGGCGACGTCGACGACGCTGCTGCTCGGGCGTGTCCTAGGGTTTTCCCCGGCACGCGGAAGGGAGAGGGGGATGGATACCTCCGACACCCTCCGGGAAGGGATGGTGGCACCGCAGGTGTCACCGCATCGGAGCCGGAAGAGCCGGCAAGGGATCTCTCCCGCACTCCAAACCCCACCGCCCAACCAGGCCGAAGCCAACCAGCCACCTTGCCACCCACCAGTATGCGCCACCGCGGTCTTGACGCCACCCACGCCGCCTCACTGAGATCACCACCACGAGCCAAGAGGGCGGAGAGAGACGCATGAGGCGACGGGAGCAGCAGCACCGGAGCCACACGTGAGGGAACTACCTCCACCGCCGTCGTGCGGGAGGCCCGAGTCTTTGGCACCGTCGCGGTCGCCGTCCGGACGAACAGCGGCAGGGCATACCAGGCCACCATGGCCAGGCCAGGCCCAAATCGGGCCCATAAAGCCCTGCCGGCCACGCTGCAGCAAGGCGGCACCAGCGCCGCCAGCATCCACCCGCCCATCGCCGCTCCCCTGCCTCTTGGAAGCCACGCCGACGACCCTCCCCGCCGCCGGTTCGCCCAGACCCAGATGGGGCCCGGAGGGCCCAGATCTGGGCCGAGCTGACACCGCCAGTTCGCCCCACCCCGCCACCAACGACAGTGCCGCCGCCCAGTAGATCACCCGCCACCACGCCGGAGAGCCCTGCCGCCGCCGCCTAGGACCACCTCGCGACGCCGCACCGCCCTGCGTCAGTGCGACCTGAGAGGGGAAATGCCCGCGGCCGCCACCGCCAGCGCTGCCCGGGCTAGGCCAGATGCAGGACGCCAGCGACGGAGGCAAGGAGGGAGGGGAGGGGGAGGGCTCGGAGAGGAGGCGCTGGGGGCGTGACCGGTCACCCGCGGGGGCGACGCGGTCACGAGAGGGAGGAGGAGTCTGTATAAATAGAGTCAAAGGTCTGTTATACCTAGGATTAGAGTTGAGACAGGTGGACAGAAGAGACTGCATTATATGCGGACTGTTCAGTTCATAAACTATGCGGGAAGCCGACGACACTGTGCACGAATTAGCAAAACATTGCTATGAGAACCATGTATAAAGTAATTGGATAGATGATCTTCGCTCTTGCATTCTTCAATCTCTCGTAAACGAGTAAGTGTTGTGCCATGATCAATAAAGTAAGTCATGATGGTGTTCCCTCAAAAAAAAATATTGAGACAGGGCGCACCATACTCCACTCACCAATCTATATATGCCCTCTCTCCTAACATGTTGACTAAACCAACCACACTTGTTAGTTCTAGTCACTCTTTGTATAACTTGATAGATACCTCATTGTTGTAAATAGGCCTTCAATTAATGTCCATCT